CTTGTTTCTATTACTATATTCTCTTTTTCTATATGTTTCTTTCCTATTTAAGTCATTTCTTTTTCTATTAGTTTTTTATCTATTTTTTTATCTTTATTTTTATTATTTTCTTTTAATTCTCTAATTTCAATTTTTAATATATTTATATCGTTTCTTGTTTATCTTACTTCATTTCTTAAATCTTGTACATCATTTATTAACATTTTTATTAATGATTTTAATTCTTCCATATATTCACTTATTGATATCTTAATTTTTTCTTATTTTTAAGTCTTAGGTTAATTTGCATATTTTATCTTCCTTTTTATTTATTATTTTTTCAAATCTTCTCTCAGTTGTATCTAGATCTACTAATTCTTCTTTTACTATAGTAAAATATCTACTCTTAAATCTTAATGTTTCACATTTTAATTTTATTAATTGTCTATTATTTGATATTCTCATTCCTTCTAGTATTAATATTATATTTCGTATTTCCTCTTATATTTTATCCATTTTTATAAGTAATTTATTCAATTTTAAATGTGTATTATCACTTGCACTTATACTTTTCTTTGTAATATAAATTATTTTCTTCATCTTCATATATATTAAATTTTTTCATATGTATATATGTCCTTTATTTTTTTTATTATTAATTTTTCTAATATTTGTTCCTTTATTTCTCTAGGCAACTCATTAATTATTGTTAGTGTCATTATTTTTAATCTATTATGAATAGGTTTTAAAAATATATAACTACCCCTCTTTTCTTCTAAACGCCAATAATTATCTATTTTTCTTATTTTAATTTCCATGATCTCTATACTTTTATCAAAATGTAAATATTTGTGTATTATAATCAATTATTATTTTAAAGATGTATAATCTAAATATTCTCTTAATTTTCTAATAGTTAATCTATTATTTATTAAACTTCTATAAAATCTAAGTGTTAATCTAAATATAAAGATTTTTACTTCTTCAAGTAATCTATTTTTTATAAGTTTTCTCATGATTTTTATGGCTCTGATACCAATAATGGGGGGCTACCTAGAGCGAACAAAAATCAAATAAATCAAATTAAAAGTATTAATCAAATAAATCAAATAAAAACTATCAAATTTCAACCAATATTTAATTTTAAGGATAAAAATAGATGATTTCTATATTATAGTGTCTTATTATGTAATATCCAAATGGAGGGCATTTTTGATATGTAAATTGACTAAATGTAATTTTGGAAAAGTGGCCCTTTTCTAAAGGCTATTTCCATGTATTTTCCCACCTAATTTATCTATATAAAAAAAAAGTAAGAATAAAAGAGGTTAGAATTTGAGGCCCTCTCTAATGTTGGGCCTGAGGCATTGGCAACACTCGTCTCTATGCAAAATCGGCCCTGACTACTATGTATAAATGCCTAAAAGCTGATAACTTTAGCCTTCGTTTAGCTCCCATTTTTCGGAAATGAAAATGGGTGGAATAATATTTTTTTTTTCAAATGAGTGATTGAAAAAAAGGAAAAAATTTATGTTTACGCGTAATATTATTTTACAAAAGATGATGAGGTTGAAAATAGGTAAGAGAAAAATTGAATGTAATAGAATTTAAAGGTATTTTCAAAAATGTTCAATTTCATGGGTGTCAATTCAAAAATGTCCACTTTTTAAATTTAGCACCCTTAATGAAAAAAATGAGGCAATGAATTTTTTTTCCAATTTGTCGTGGATTTCGAGAAGTAGCTTCCATGAGAAGCTACATTAAAATAATGTTCTAGACATTTCAAATGTCATTTTCGATATTTGAACCCGTTTATATTTCAAAAGTACACACATCAAATCACAATAGTAAATGTTCTCAACATTTCAAATGTTGTCCTCGACATATTAGATGTCTAGTATAATATTTCATTTTAAATATGACATTTTTCTACACTTGAAATGTAGTTCTCGACATTTCTGTGTTAATGAGAAAAATAACATTTATTATGATTTGACATGTGCACTTTTGAAATAAATAGAGCAGGTTATGTGTCAAAATTTATTGACCAATAAAATTTTTAATTGTAAAAATGTCTATTTTTGTCTCTGTGTTGTATCGTAAATTGTTAACAAGGGTATCTTGATCTAAATTATTGTAAAATAGACATTTTTGCAAGGATTTGTAATGATGGAGAATTTTGCAAATGGATATGTGAAAGTTGACATTTCTAGTAATTTCCTCTAGAATTTAATGTAACGAGATTCAAATGGAGGCTTAATAAGAAACCGAGAAAAGCTTAAGAGCACGTAATTAAGCACCGTTTTCCCTTAAAAGTGGATGTTTTCGACACAAAAAGAACTCTTTTTTGAAAAGATCAAAACTTGGAGACAGCATATTTATTACATAAAAGAGACAGTAACAATTGAAAATTCTAAACCCTAATTACACAATGCGATTTCATGTAAATTAGAAAAGCTGATAAATTACATAATTGGAAAAGTTTCAATCGAAATCTCTTACAACAGAATCTCACTGGGGCGAGGTGGAAATGATGGAGCTTCCTTCTCGGCAATTGAATCGCTTGGTGAGTTAGCGACTCAATAATGGAGTGAGTAGATTCCAGATTGGTTAGTCCCGTTTGGCTCCATTATTACAAATTATAATTTTCTCTCTCTTATTATATTACATGTAAATCGACATTTTTTTACATCTTTTTACACCACATATTATCCAAAAAATATACTATTTCAAAAATTATAAATTGAAATAATAGGAGCCAAACGTTTCCAAGTCCACTATGTTTTCGGCTGTCATCCAAATTTTTGTAGCTTTTTATTGTTTTTCTTTTTGCTGCACATAACTGAACTCTTTTTTGTATTTATTATTATTATTATTATTTTTATGGACTTGTCAATGGGGATGGCAATTGGGCTCGGGCAGTCCGTAGCTCGGCTCGAAAAAAGCTCGAACCCATCCGACTCGAGGCTTGGACCGAGTCCCATTTTTAGGTGTTGGGCAAAGCCCGAGTCGGGTTGGAGCATATATTTAAAAATAAATTAAAAAAATTAAAAAAGAAAAGAAAGGTAGCCTGCTGCTAGAAATTCTACAGTAGGTTGCTGCCATTTTATATTAAAAAAATAAATAAATTCTAAAACCAAACAAAACTCGAGCTGGCTCGGCTCGGTTCGAGCCTAATTTTTTTTGCCAAGCAAAGCTCGAGCCCGAAAAAAGCTCGGATATTTTACCTGAGCCGAGCTCGAGCCTGAGCCTAGAATTTCGGCTCGCGAGCTAACTCGGTTTCGCTCGTTAACATCCCTACTTGTCAACATAACTGAACTTTTACTTTAGCCCTTGTTTAATTATCATTATTTTCAAAATATATATTTTTCCATTCTTTTTAAACCATTTTTTTAATAAAATATTATTACATGCAAACTTAAATTTTTTTTCTTATTTTTTAACTATACATTCTCCATCAATTTATTATTTCAAAATACATTATTAGTCTAAAAAGGGAATCAAATAGGCTCTTAATTTTGTCAGGCTAATATTTTATGAAGCATACACATATTAAGATGGGGTAATTTGCACAAAACATCCCTATCTTTCAATTTTTGATATTTTTGCCCCTACAATCCACATTTCTTTGCACAGAAGGTCCTTTTGACGATTTTACCTTCCATTGAAATGAAACAAAAAGAAAAGAAAAGAAAAAATAAAGAATTAATTGCAATCATAGTCCCAATTTTTTAAAAAAAATTATAAATCAATCATAATTTATTGTGAACTAAAAAATTTTGTAATTAAATAGAGAAAAAAAGTTGAATGTATAGAGAAATAATCAAGAAATGGAGAAGTTTTTTAATCATAACCAATGAAAATGAAAAAAAATTGAAGATTACGTGATTTTTGTCTCAAGCCTTCAATCTAGTCTGCACTAAATAAAAATTGAGATTTATGCTTACCCATTTTTGAAGATTTTCAGTTTCAACGGCTATGGTTCAAAAATTTCTCTATTTCTTGATTATTTCTCTGTACATTCAAGTTTCCTTTTTTTTTTCGGGGGAAATTTAAAAATTTTTCAGTTCACAATAAATTGTGACCGATTTGTAATTTTTTTTGAAAATTTGAGATTATTATTGCAATTAGTTCTTTAATTTTTTCTTTTCTTTTCTTTTCTTTTTTTTTATTTGAATGGAGGGTAAAATCGTCAAAAATAAATGAAAAGGATCTTCTGCGCAAAGAAATGTAAAAGGAAGGGACGAAAATGCTAAAAAATGAAAGTTTATGATGTTTTTCACAATAAACTTGAAAGGTAGGGACGTTTTGTGCCAATTACCCTAAGATAGGGTCGATAAAAGTTGATTAAGTTTACTATCTTTTATAGCAAACTTGTCGAGCTGATATAAAATTGACACTTTTATATGACAACTCATTTGATATGACATCTCATCACTTTCGTCTTTATTTCGTACTGTTCTAATTTGATTGTTAGAGTTAATCGGACATGCCTTCGCAATATGACTGACCTATTAATCGAGTTTAGTTTTGCTAATAATTTGGAAGAAATAACTATACTATTCCAATGGAGGATTATGACAGCATTTTGATATCAATTTGTCATTTTAGGATAACTAAGGGCCTGTTTGGCCCCAATTTTTTCACCAAAAAAATTGATTTTTTAATCGTTATTTTACTATTTCAGCCGTCATATTTGACTTCTTCTCTCACAGGTGGACCCCACTTTTCCCCCTAACGGTCAAAAAATCAATTCTTAAAATCATTCCCAAACAACCCCTAATTCTCTATTATGCGGGCATCAAAGGTATCCGGTACTCGACATCGTACCACCTACTCACTCAAAATTTATTTTGCAGATAATGTGTAGCATAGACTCAGAATTAAGCTTCCTTCATTGTTCACTTGATCATCACTGAAGCAATACATAGCCACACATCACACTATACTATATTCATGTTATTATGAATAAAGTGAAACTACGAAAGAATTGAGAGAAAATATAAAAAGAAAAATTGAGAAATTCAAAAAGGCGAGCAACTTCCACCATAGAATGAGGTACATATATTACAAAGGTTGGTTAGGAATATTACAATTACAATTACAATCCCAAGAGTCAGGAGGAATTTTATTTAGTGCAAGTAGTAATATTACGATTACAATCCAGGACAAACAATCTTGTTACGAGTGTTTTTTTATGGTAATATGGACTTGAAGTCTCTAAGAATCCTCCCTCAAGCTACCATAACACAACAGTTTAAAATGAAGTGACTTAGGGGATTTCTGCCACTGTCAACAGGTCTCCACTGCAATTCTTCGGCATCGGCATCTGGGCAGCAGGTATATATGGCCATGTAATTACTGGCACAAGAAAAAGCTGATGCTCCTATTACAAGCAGCTCATTTCCCAGTGACTTGAATGCAACGCCCCAACCTCTGTTGCAAGCCACTCTCACTGGAACTTGCCCCAGCGACTTCCATGTATTGGTCTTCTTCAAATACACCTTCAGCTGGTTGGAAGAAGATTCAAGCGAGTAGAGTTCATTATTTATGACAGCAAGAAGTGGTGGAGAGTGGGATGACCGTACAGGATCGTCCTTCAACATGTCGGGAATGAGTTCCCACGTGTTTTTGGTTTCATCGAAAAATTCACCGCATGTCAGTTCTCCATCGTTATTTCTCCCACCAATCACGTAAAATTTATTGTCCACATAACATCCGGAGCACAGCTTCCTTCTCTTTTTCATCCTCGGAAGTGGTTCCCATGATCCATTGTCCGGATTATATTTTTCAGCGGTATCATAGACTTCACTATTTGCTGCCACCCCCATGCCACCAGCCACATAAGCAAAGGTACCACAAGTTGCAGAAGCAAACAAGCATCTCGGGCTAATCATAGATGGACCCTTGTACCATTTATTCTCAGCCAATTCATACCTCCAAACAACTAGACCATGAATTTCTCTGCCAGAAACGAGAAGGTGAGTACCAGCACAAAGTGTCTCTTTATCTCCAGAAGGAAAGCAAGGATCTGACGGTAGAACTGGAAGCTTCCTAGGGGACCTAAATTCTCGATCAAATGCCCACCAATTACCTTCCCCAGTCGTTAGCATGAAAACAGACGGTTCTTTAACTCCAATTTCCTTTCTAATCTTGTAAAGCTCACCACTTTTTAATAGAGTCAAACACCTCTTGTTCACAAAGCATAACTTCCAATGTTCTGACCTTGGAAACCTAGCAAAAATTAGATTTTCTAATTCATTGCTAAGAGACATGTGAGAATAATCTGCATCCTGAGGGTTTTCACCCGATGAATTATCTGTACCGCCATTACCAGAAGGACTGGTTACATGCTGATCTGATATATTGCCAATTTCCCACATCCCAACCTTCGAGTCAGAAACGCGAATAGAAATCCAATCGTCACAACTGAAATTCAAATCAAACCAATGGTTCCTATCCGAATAATGAATATTTTCACTAATACCCTTCTTGTCTTCTTTACTTCCTCTTTCGTTGCCTTCAGAAATTGATTTAAAGCTTTCAACACCCAAAATCCTCCGAATTTTCATCTAATCAAAAGAAAACAAAATGAAATAATCCCCTCATAATGGAAATTCTAATATCCAACTAAAAATCTTTGTGTCAAGGACTGAAGACTTGAGAGAAGCCATTAAGTACTTCAAAAACAAATCATTTAAATCTCCTGTACATCATCTGATCAAACAACTAGGGCAAGACTAAAAATATTAATTTCCAAAAGGCCGATAAACTAAAAACCGAAATATTAATACATACACTCATACGAGAAATCCCATTTAACGGAAACAGGGCAGATGCAGGGCTGGCTTTAGTTCAAAAACAGCTATTTTTTCATCTCTATGAAACAGATATTAAAGAAGATTCTTAACTAAACATGAAGGTGAACATGAAAAACAAATCAATAGTCTCATATGATAAATACAGGAAGCAAACGATAAATATAATCAAAAGAGTACTCATGGCCGACGAACAATAAAGATCTACAGAATTATTCTTTTGATGAGTAAAAGTCTGTCATAATTAAGAAATCTGATATAACACATAAAAAAGTTCTAAACCATGAAACAAATTAATCGTAGTAAAAACATATAAAAACCAAATATCATGGTAGAAAAATGCAACAGAAGTACACTATAAATGTACAAACAGAGATAGCAATAGAAGCTCACCCGGGAACCCAAAAAAAGCCCAGTTCTGGAAGAAGCAATAATACAAACATCTCAACTCGGCACTAACAAAGCATAAACCTTAGCATACATTCCGCATAAATAGAGTAAGAAAGAAAAAAGGGTTTGCAGGCATTGAGCCGCAGAGAGGTATATAGTATAATGCAAGAAGGGGTGGTTTCTTGGACCCCTCCATTTGCTTGAAGGGATTAAAAAAAATGGTAAAATAAATTATTGATACGAGACCCAACATTGGCAACAACAAAAATGGCATCGTTGATTTGGGGGAAAGCAGATAATTTTTTATTGTTGATTTGTGTGAGAAGAGTGGAGAGAGAGAGAGAGATTTGTGTAGCCTGACTCGTGGATTTTTGCTTATACTTTTCTTGAATTTGATATTCATAATGGAATTTTGAATTGCACATGACTGTCTGAAGTGGAAGGAATAACAAGTTCTTTTTCATCCAAACTGTAGTATCATGATGGTGATAAAACAGAAGAATTTCATTCAGTTTTTTCAACGTAGCATAAAAATGGATGCAATTACAATTCAAGAATTAGATTCTCAAATAATGTCTGTTTTTCCAAATTGGCTTTTCAATGATTGGAATTAATTGCTCCAATGGTCATTGAACTTAAATCTATGTCTTTGATTAGTCATTGAAATTTAAAATATCGAATTTTTGTCACTAAATTTAAGTCCATGTCTTCAATTCACTAAAATTTAAATGTCGAATTTTAACCATTGAAGTTTAAAAAATATTATACGTTACTCACTAGCATAAACGTTGAACTATGAAAAATGTCCAGTTTACAGTGAGTAATATACAATATTTTTCAACGTTCAATTACCAAAAATCGACATTTTAAATTTCAGTAACCAATCAAAAATATGGATTTAAGTTCAGTGACCACTGTAACAATTAACTCCAAATGTTGTCTTTACATCACATACATATTAGATTCAATTTTCACTAGAAAGACATGATTTCATACATTCGGCAAAAAAATGGATTCAAGTCTTCTGCTCAACTTTATGTTAATACATGTTTGTCAAGGATTGCGCATTAAGTTATTTAAATGGTTTCTTTGTTGACGTCCAAATCTGTTGTCCTCCAATAAAATCTTGACATTTCACTACATTTTAAAAGTTGGCTCTCAATATGACACCTCAAAAACGTAGTGAGAAGTCGAGATTTCATTAAGAAAATAACAAAAACCACCTCTAGGTAAATATTTATCTTGAGCAACTTACTAATTGATTATCCCATCTTGCCATTTGGCTAACGCCGTAACCCTAGCTAGAAAGTGGAAGTCCTTGTCCATTTGATATATAAGACCTTTATTAAAAGTTTATGTGCTGTCTCTCCACTGATTAGTTGGTGGATTTGCCTTTAATTTTTGGTTATGCTTTTCATATTCTTTAAATTTGACTCGTAGTCATAATCTTAGCATTCTTGTTACAAGTGTATTTCGGCATTAAAATATAAGATCCACAAAGAAAATGACAGAGGACAAAATACACGTAGATTGGTTGAAATGTGTCAGCTTTAAGCCTATAGTTTTGGAAGATTAATATAAATTAATCAAAGTTGTCTTTGTCCAACCTCAAAACCATTAAATAGCCACTAAATTGTCTTCTAATTGGTTTAATTTTTGGAGCATTACATCTTTATTGGACACGAAGATCATCGTTCTTTTCAACTAATTCGAAGGGACATTTTGGGGACCTAAACTCTACTCCTTTTTGTGCTTATCTGCCATGGGAAGTCTCAAAAACTTTTTCTAATATGGTTACCTCAACTAGGTTTTGTATATTAGTAATAGGATTATGAGTATGTTTGGTTGTATTTAAAAATAGATTAGATTTACTTTTAATTTATTAATGTATCAACATATATTAACAAAAGTTTATTTTGGAAAAATGAGCATTAACATAGTTGCTAGAAAAATAATGCTCATATTTTCATTTTGGATCTAAAAATGTTTAGAAGTTGTGTGTCTCTACAATGTTAATATAACATAGTGACTAGGAGTTTAGGACTTTTTCGTTCGCTTTTTGCTCGAATTTACAAAATTATGTTCCAAAGGAATTTTAAAATATTGTATCATCAACAAAATAAATACACATTACGTAAATTTATTATTTCTCTATCTTATATCTCAATCAGTTTTTGAATTGTACGTAAATATTAATTAAATGTCATATTTGGTCCAGTTCAATGTAAAACACCAAACATGCTCTCTATGTACAATTAATGAGGAGCCAATTTAACCTTTTGAGAGTAGAAAACTAGAGATGAAATTTTATACCTAACTTTTATATAATATATTTTTTTTTTTTTTTTGGAAGCTTCATCACTCACCTTTTAATGTTGCGTCCTATTTGGCACCTAGTAGAATAAAACCTTGCAACAAGGCACAAATGATGCGTGCAAATTAATGTAATGTATAAAATATATGGGAAAGTTGATGAGATTTTTTTTGGTCGATTTCAAAAGAAAAGTGTCTACTATTCATAATGTACGAAATGGCTTGGAAAAAGTCTATGTTGCCCTTTTTGCAAAAAAAAAGTCTATATTATTGGACAGTCCAGACATCATCCACAATGAGATAGGGATGTTGACATATGATCGACTTCATTCTCAATGTTTTGATCATAATAAATATGTTTAATATTGTTTCTAATTATTTATTTTGAGTGATGATAGTTCAATGTAAAAATCAATCAAACATTATATATCAGACTTGAAATGAAGATCAAAGTGAAAGTTAAGCATTCAAATCAAATCATTCGAGATGAGAGCTTAAAAGATAAGATAAACGCAAAAAAAGATCAAGATCAAGAACATGAGAGACGACATCAAAAAAGATCAATACGAGAACTCTAAGAGGCAAATTTTGAAGCAAAGACTTGATTTCTTAGATAAAATGTAAAGGTACTAACACTTTGACATTTGGCAATGAATGTTTAAGCTTAAAATCCTTGTATGCATTAAAATTTTTTTTGTGGATTAAAAGTTATTTCAATGCAACGTGTTGATCAAATATAAGAATGACTTTTAAAAATAATATTTGGACTTTAAAAACATTTTTTATCTCGAAAAGTTAGTTAAAAATAGTTTCCAAAAGTCCATGCATATCAAAACTCTCAGATCGGAACAAACGGACCCAAAACATAAAAAAGATAGCACTGCTGGGGCGGTCGACCGAACCCCTCCAACTGTTCAAAATGTGATCGTTCTAATATCTGATTTTTACTGTACAAACGGTTATATTTGTCATCGGATAAGAGGCGAAAGACTGGACATATCTTCCAAACTTACATATTTTTCTTTTACGTTTTTGAACTCTATAAATATCATCATTCTTTTCGTTCTTCATAAGATTTTTAAGAGCATCAAAGTGAGATATTTTTGTTTTGAGATTTCTTTGAGCTTTCTTTGCATACATTTTATTTGCTTTTTTATATAAAAAACTTTGATTGATTCAAACTCCTTAATAATCATCATCATTAATGTTTTTCATCCATCTTTTTGTACTTAACTTAGTTCAATCATTCGCAGAAGAGACACATATTTTGAAGAAAAAAATTGAACTTCCATTGTATCATTTCTTCCACTTCTATATATCAAAACTTTGATTTATTGAATCAAACTTGTAAAATCATAATATTTATCAAAGTTTCATATCTCTCTTTTGGTATTTAATTTATTATCATTATTAATTAAAAGAGAGATATTTTGAGAAGATTCTTGAACCAACATTGCAATAATTTCTTTTTCATCTTCTTATTGAAAAATTTTGATTGATTGAATCAAATATTTAATTATCACATTGATCAAAATTTTTCATCTAACACTTGAGCTATCATTTATTGCTATTCACTGAAGTGCTAACCTTTTTTATATGCTTAATTTGTTATATATTATTTTTCAAGAGAGGGTTTCATTTTAAAATCACTTTGATAAAGTGTGGGTCGTGTTAAAGTCCCGTAAAAATTGATATTCTATAAGGATCGGTGCTTCTTATTGTAAGTCACCGTATAGGTCATATTGAGGTCCCGTAAAGTTCAATGGTATGGGTCTTATTGAGGTCCGTAAAGCTTAACATTGTATGAGAATCGATGCTCCTTATTTGTAAGTCACCAGAAGTATTGTAAACGATTGAATTACACCATAAGTCAATCAACATAGTGAAAAGGCCTTACTCGTGCTGGAGAGCTTGATAAGGGAGTACATAGATCATTGCTTTAGATTGAACCTCCACAATTATTTCATTTGGATCTTCTCTCCCTTTACTTATTGCTTTTATATTGCCTTTATTATTTGAATTTATCTTTTTAGTCTTTACTTGCTTTCGTATTTGTGCATATTTGTTTCATTGTCTCATTTGCTATCATATTGGTTTAAATCTAGAATTAATTTTCGAAAAAGTTTAAAAAATCAATTCACCCCCCTTTTGGTTAATCTTTCTTGGGCTTTCATGGGAAACTATCATGCGGTCGAAATTTTAGGTACTATGGTGATAAGTGCACATAGTTCACTTATTTTCTGAGAAAAATTGTCCTACACCTGCAAATTTTAAAGAATATCCAGCATATATACACTACAAAACTTATTCTCTCACCCTTGTAATCTTCTTCATCTTGCACTTGATTGCTCAAGACTGTGGGACATTATTGATCGAAATTGTAGCAATAGTTCACTAGCAGACAACTTGATTTTTAACGTTGCTCTCAAGGAGTAGTTACTGAAAAAAGGTTGAGATTTGTACATATGCATTATGTTTTAAGAAATCTAACAAATGTAGCTTTTCAAAGTTTATTTACTAATAAAATTATGGCATCATGAATTCAAAACAATGTATTTATTATATTTGTTTTGTTTAGTTTTGTTGAATCTTATTGACTATCCTGTTATACTTATTAAGTGGACTAGCCTTTCATTTAGTGATTTTTGAGCCAATAATGGGATTGGCTTTTTCTTCTATAAACACATATGGAGGCCCCTACTTTCACTCCAATTAATATGGAATTGGCCGGTTGAGTTCTATACATATAAACATATTGGCCCTTTCTCCTCTAAATTAGCAAGCTACGAGGTATCGTTTTCAAGGGTTTCAAGAGGGTAGAGAGTAGTTTCTCTCCATAGCACAGTTTCTTCCATCTTTTCAACCTAAGGAATCTATAGAAAATAAATTGTAAGCTACATAAAGGTATGATTTCCTTTGTTATTGTTGAATACATGTTATGATAATGAGAAGAAGAGATTATTGAATCTATTTATGTTAACAATTGGTATCAGAGCTAAACCTTTTCATTTTTATGGCTATATAGTTTTAAGAAAACCAAACATTGATTTAAAATTCTGGTACCAAACTTGAAGTTTATTTGTAGTGCAGGAAATTTTAGAAATTATTCTTAATTTTTTTTTGTTGGACATGAACCCGATGACCGCTTTATGTTAATGTTTTTCCATTATTTGGTGGTGTTATATCATTCTATAAAGTCA